ATTGCAAAGTGCCTCCCCTTCCCCCCCTCCCCTTAACCCCAACAGCGCCCGTTGTTGTTGTTGAGCGAACGTTATTAACAATTTCTTGATATCAGTAAGCTGAAATAAACAATAATGAGTCTGAAAGTTTTGAAAAAGCTTTCAGCCGGAGACCTTTCATCAGGGGCACCCGAATAAGAACCCATCACAATGCAATGTTTGGCCTTTCCACTGCTCGTTCTCAGAACTGGGCTTATTATGCATCCGTTCTGCAAAACCCGCAGAACGGAATTAATCTGTAATATCTCGACGTCAGAATGCTCAGGAAATTAACCACTCTCATGACTCATTCATTGCCTGCAGGTAATTAAATAACCCTCGGAGTAAACAAAACAATAAGTATAAAAGGTTGAGCTTTCACTGGTGGCGAGTCTCTTTTCTGGATGCGCCACGCATTTTCGCTTCATTTGAATTTATTGTGACATCTCCAAATGCGACCTGGTCTATATATATGAGTTTGCAGGAGCCCAGCCGATGAATCGTATTTTACATACCTCCAGAGGAGTTTTATATCACTTTACCGTAGAAGAGGCGCAGAGGACTTGCTTGGCCTGGTGGAGGGCGCTGATTTGCCTAGGTGGGGGGGAAGGGGTGGGCAACCTTGGGAAGGCTCCTCGACGTGCGCACCTCTTCATCTCTGACGATCTTTGCCATCAAGGGTCATGAATGAACGGAAAGTCACCTGAGGTCTCTTTTTCTTACTAACCATTCAGACATTTTTTTCTACAAGCTCGTCGCATCTACATTTTACTTTATTTTTTGCTTTGCATAGCTTCCCTTCCAGTAGCTTTGTCTTACAAGGGAACCCCAACAGGTCGACCCGGCCATTTGCAATGAGAAGTAGGTATATGGACGTATCTCGAGCCGCTGAATCCAAATCTACTCTCCGTTTTTGCGGAACGATTCTCTGAACGGAGTTACGGACCATCAAATCTTTGCTCGTTGTATAAGTTGAGAGGGATGGTTGCTCACGGCAGGTCGCCGATGGCCTAGTGGATAAGTGCACTGATTCAGGAACACGATGTCGCATGTTGGAATCCTTGACACTCCGAACATTTTTGCTTTTGTTCAGAACATTCCATATGAGTCCCCAGAACACTTCTGTTTGGCCAGTTGACCTGAATCTCTGATTATTTGACAATAGAAGCGATCATTGCTCCATCTGTTACACCTTCTGAAAACTTGAATGAGAACTCCAATGAGAATGACCGTTTCTAGAGCTCGCATCGAGGAATGGAGAAGGTCGCCACTACTACTAGGGAAGGTCGTCAGGTCCAAGTGGCCATTCGTAATGAAATACAGTTCACTAGACGTGGTTTTGGACGCTGATCTCGAATCTGCCTTCGAAATTTGCAGAACGATTCTCTGAACGGAGTCGCATTGAAATTCTGTGGGGAATGTCTCTTTTAAGTCTAGAATGCATTCAAACGTCAAATGGGTGCCATATTCGTGTTCAGGGAGCAAAATTACCCTTGGGGACAGGTTTCTAGCCAGATATGAGGTCTTGACCTATCTTCAAAAGTCCGGTAGCAGTTGATCCGATGGTGGTCACCACTAGTTCCAGGGCCAGTCTCTTGTCGGTTGCCCTGTCTTTGGCCGGAATTTTCTTCTATATACCAAGAAAACTGGAGCAGTAACAAAATGAATGCGTAAGAAGGTGCAAGACAAGGCGTTGTGCAGGCAAATGTATCTGCAGCTGAATAGGTGTGAACATCAGCTGAACTAACCCATGGTTAATTATGGAAATCAGGTCAAAATGCCAGATTTTGGCTAGCAACTTGTGTATAAAGGTATTTTGACCCGCTGAACACGAATATGGCACTCGCTGAGCGTGAAAACGCCTGTATCGCGCACGACGGGCACCTGTACACCCCAATATTTTCCTGCACTACAAGGCTTCTACAAGGTGCCTAGGCGCATTCATAAATGGACGCAAAGTTTTCTTCTTTTGTGAAAACCTTCCCGACGACTGACAGGAGTGATATGCCGCGATAGTTCTTGCATTCCGTTATGTCGCCTTTCTTGTGTATTGGCACGATGATGGAGCGTTTCCACGTCGTAGGAACAGCCTCCGTCTGCCAGACGCGACACATAAGACGGTGGAGCCGTTGTACCAATACTTCTCCTCCTGCCTTAATCGCTTCTGCTGTGACATTGTCTACACCAGCCGCTTTCCTGTTCTTCAGCGACATCACCGCCGCCCTCACTTCCTCCATACTTGGCGCCGCCTCGTGATCTTCAGCTTCACCGAAGAAGCTTATGCCGACCGGAGCAAGCGGGTTTTTGCCCTGGCCGTGGGTGCAGTGACCAGATCTTCGCGCTGAGGCAACTACTGGAAGAACGTATTCGTTGCGGCAAAAGGGTTGTGGTTGTTTTCATAGATTTCAGAGCTGCATTCGATAGCGTCCACTGGCCAGCGCTATGGAAAGCCCTAGAGTGTGAACACGTTCCGGACAAAATTGTGAGGCTGTTGCGGGAGGCGTACAATGGAACTGTCAGCTGTATCCGCGTCAAGGATGACGTCTCTGAAGAATTTCCTGTAAGTGCTGGTGTTCGTCAGGGTGACGTGATCTCCCCTACGTTGTTCAACGTGGTAATGGACGCTGTCATGAGGAAAACTTTCAACGGAAGGCAAGGCGTGCAGTACGGTGAAGGCGGCTTTCTCACTGACCTGATGTTTGCCGATGACAGCGCAATTTTTGCCGAAACTGACGAGGAAGCGACTAACATCATGTGCTCACTGTCAGAGATTGCCCAGTCGTATGGCCTCAAAATAAACGCGGAAAAGACCAAGGTGATGACCTCGGATGGATCGCCCGCGTCCGTGCGACTGGGTAGCGTCGCCTTGGAGCAAGTGAGTAATTTCAAGTACCTTGGATCGGTCGTTCAAGAAAGGAAAGTGGCTGCCGAGGCTGAGGTCCGCAGCAGGATTGGTCACGCGTCTAAGACATTTGCAGCGTTAAAGTGGTGTCTCTGGAAGAAGAGTAACATATCACTGAAAACCAAAATTCGCATGTTCCGGACGCTGGTGCTCCCGGTGCTACTATATGGGTCTGAGACATGGACGTTGCTCAAGTCGGATCTCTCTCATCTCGAGGTGTTTCAAATGCGTTGTCTCCGCCATATGCTCGGGATCAGGCTTCGTGACCATGTCACGAACAACGCCATCAGGGAGAAGTTTGAAGATCAACCCACAATCGAGGAACAATTGAAACTGCGACGGCTACGATGGTTCGGTCATCTGTGCAGGATGGGTCACGACAGAATACCTAATATGCTCCTGTGGAGAAAACGCCCTGCGCAGTGGAAAGTTCAGAGGACGGCTCCAAAAAAGACTTTGGTTGAAGCAAGTTGAGGAAGACCTTAGGGCTCTGAGGTGCAGTGTTGAGCATGCTAGACGTATTGCTGCTAATCGACCAGAATGGAGACACTTCATTCAGGGCGTTCGTACTCCAATGGCACCCACAGCAGTGTACTGGTTGAGAGGCCGGCCCCCACCACCAGACGCAAGCTAAGGGATAAGTAAGTAAGTAAGTAAGTAAGTAAGTTTTCTTCAGGCAAGATTAGGTGAGCACTGAAGTAGTAGTGAAAGCAAAACCACATTTTGCCACGTTTGCGCAGGAAGCAAAAAAGTGAAGCCCAGCAGGGATTCGATCCCACGACCTGTTGCGTGGTAAATGCGGTGGAAAAAGCCCCATAACTCCGTTCAGAGAATCGTTCCGCAAAAACGGAGGGTAGATTTGGATTCAGCGGCTCAAGACACGTCCACATGTGTACATCTCATTGCAAACGGCCGGGTCGACCTGTTGGGGTTCCCTTGTTAGACACACTCTGCGCTCGCCATATAGGCGGAAGCCAGGCCTTCCATTGCTGTCGCTTTTGTTGACGAGGCCTTCTATTCTCTTCACCGCCTCGGAAAGTGAGGGCGCAATCATGAGGGAAACGCAATGCTAGGCATCATTCACCCTCAGCAAAAGTTTTGAATCTGCTGCGAGAGTTTCCGAGCAGTGTGGCAAAAAAAAGGGTAATACTCGTGCATTTGTGCCGTGAAACAGAACGCTGATCACCAGAGTAAAATGTATCTTAATTCAATTCGTTTACCTTCAGGGACGTCTGCGTGACTCGAGAGAGTCATCCGGTTTCGACGATTCGCATGATCTTCTTGATGAAGCGCCACAAGCGATGACAGCTCCGGTGTCGCCTTCCGTGCCGCTCAGTGCAAGCAGGTGAGCATTGACAGCTTGACAAACGCCAAGATGTTGTCCAACACCCTCATTAAGCAGTCATTCGGACGGATGGAAGTATTCGTCACAAAAATTGTTGTGGAAGCTGAAGCCGCGTTACTTCAGCCATGCTTCCAGTACATCTTCATCGACCGATTCTGCCTGGAGATCGCTGGTTAGTCCTAAGTTTTTCAAAAGCATGCCAAAATTTGGCGTAGTTAGACTTGGTGGGGGCACTGGTGGTAGAGCGAAGCTTGTACAGGCTACCTTGTGAAGACTTGTAGATTGCTGTAACTATTTTCAGAGCTTACGCCTCACCAAATTGATACCTGTAACCCAACATGAGTGAGCAAAAGGGCAAAATGCCCTGTGTGGAACAGCGCCCCAATTTCTCCTGAAAGCAAAATCCGATGTTGACATGATTTCATCATGATCGCTTTGAACTTACGGTCAGCGTTCAGCGAGACCTTCTATATTCCAGTCCTTCTCATACCATGGGGGAACGCTCATCTTGGATTCGCCTCAGGCTTAGGCGGAGGATGAGCTCTCCAGAAATGCCATTCACCATTAAAACCTTAAAATAGGACGTGTTAAGCTTGATTGAGAGGATGACACATCGCTATTCCGCGAAAATGCCTATTCATTCGTGACATCTAAGCCACTAAGAGTGCAATGTTCTCAAGAGGTGAGCGGATAAAGCACCAGGCATTGATCAATTCCTTTCCGGGATGTGCCAAGCATTCTCAGAATCGTAGTAAAATTCGAATGCAATTGAGATTTTACAAGCAACGGACCTTATTAGCGACTGCGGCAGACCCGAATGTAAAAAATTAATGTTCTTGTCCTCCCAGGCTAGTCTGGTCTAGGCATAATATCGCTAGGGACTCCCCAACCAGGGGACTGTGTTAGGTCTCGGCAAGAAGGTTTTGATTGTTGTTTCGTCTCAAACGCACCATATACGCCGTTCGACGGCGACATAACTTGCCAAGGTTTTATAGCGGTTTGGCAAAGAGGGGTGGCGTGTTTCGGCAGGGCACTTCCTGCCTTCAGGGGAAGTTTTCGCAAAATATGACCTCAAAATTTCCGCTCTAGTGAGACCCCATCCCTCATTCTATCTAATACCTGAATTTTCTCAGCTTTCCACCATTTTTCTCCGCGAATTCCCCTTCGTTTCTACCAACAGCCA